ACCCACCTGTGCTCGGAACTAGACTATTCCCTGAGCCTCCCGCACCTCCCAGCTCCTCTTGGGGCTGCAGAGTGAGAGGAGGAACCAAGCCTCTCTGCAGATCCTTCCTGCCCTCCTCCTGTCCCTTCTCTGACACCTGCCCCAGTGAGGGACAGTTTCTAGGAATCAGTCCTGAGCCAGCCAGTCTCACGCTGCCCCTCATCCAGGGGCTCCCTTACAGCCAAAGAGGAGAGGGGCCCCGTGGCAGATGGTGAGCCCCGACACTTCATGCGTTCAAGCAGAGGCTGGATGAGCATTTGTGGGGAGTGACGGGATTCCAGGACTGAAGAACGCGCAGTGACCACAACCATGCCCTGCGGAGCTGCAAGGCCTTGCTGCCGCACCGCAAATGAGTGTTATTATCCCCTTGTGAAAGCAGACTAAGTATATGTGCTGTCACCTGAGCCTAGCTCCAAAGCACAGCCTAAATGCTACCTAAATCCCTGTCATCTCCACACATAATCTGAGCCCCGTGTTCCTGCTCGGCTGGTTCAAGCCATTTTGGCCTGATTTGGAAGGATGGAGAGTTCAGCTTATTATAAAGCCGTCATACACTAATACTTTTCAAATGTTTCATGGAATTATCGGCTATCTGATCTATCTGTAAAGGGTCTTAAACCAACCCCAGCTCCCTCAATTTATAGATAGGCATCCCCTCTCCCCAGAGGGAACGTGACTGGCACAGCAAACCAGTCCACGGATCTTAATTCTAAGACTAGAGTGGTTTTTATTTTTTAAATACATATGATACAGTAAGGAGAAAGCAGTATTTATTTTATAAAATCAGCAAAAGTACACACAAAAGGTTAAAACTCTGTGCTGGCAAGGCTGTAGGGATCCACCTGTGGCATTTCGTTTCACAGGGTTATCTAGCAACCTGTTACAAAAGTCCATAAAAATGATCCTACCTGCCCTTTGGTCCTCACCTTCTACTTTGGGGACTTTACCCTAAGGAAATGACTAAAGAGCGAGAGATGGATGTAGTACTATTGCCTAAAAGGAGTTTTTTCTTTTACAGTGAAGATACTCCCGGTGTGTTAGTTAAAACATTCTAAATGTTTGATTTGAAAACTGCAGCCTCGAAAGTAGTGATGGTATAGCTTATAGTACTGGAGTCTGGCTGGTGTAGAAGCATTGTAATCCAGAGGCAGGGCCATGGGACTGAAGCCAGCAGACCTAGGTCCCAGGATGGGCTCTACCTTGGACCCAGTGTGTGCCTTTGGGTCAGTCTGCTCTCCGTTCTGGACCTCACTTTCCCTGACTATGAAATGGGCACAGGCTCAGTGGCAGCTGAATTCATTCTAGCCTTGGCAACCTATGGGCCAGACTGAACAAGTTTCCGTGGCAAGGGTATTTTACTAAACGGAGCCAGGAGCATAATGACAATCAAAGCCTGTGCCAGCCTCCCTCCCCTAAATGAATTCCCCTAAAGCAGGACCCACCTCCGTGCAAGGGGTTTCAGCCTTAAGCTTGTGCTATTTTCAAATGGCCAGACCTGGATTGTTTTATAGCTTGGTGAGTTTTTATCCTCTGAGCACCCGAAATAATGTAGCGGGGGCTCTGTTATTTCCAGTCTGCAGCCAAAGCCTCGCCTGCCTCACAACAGGTAAGAGGCGCTTTGCAATCACACCCTGTCTGAAGGGCCGGGTGACCCCACTCCAAACATTTTTTCAATGTCCCCTGCACCAGGCCCTGAGGTGCCTCCTGTAGGCCTGCATAGCACTGTGGGATGAGTTTTAGGTAAAACTATGCGAAATAGCCAATATCCGACAGTTTTTTGACTTAATGAAAAATAGCAATTTCATTTGGTGCAGCCAAAGTAGAAAAAGATATAATTAAAAGATGTAATTACAGTTTTTTAGTATAATTGAGAGACGGGCAGGGTGCAGTGGGACTAAGAAGGTGTGATTATGCCCGGAGGAGTCCAGGAGGAGGGTCACAGGCCCTGCCTTGAAGAATTGGTAATGATGCCGATGCCGATGACCACTCTTGCTTGCTTCTGTCTTAGGGGCTTACACATTCATTCATAGCCAGTAGTTTGCTCAGTATTTACCAGGCTCAGCCGTTTTGCTAAGTGTTTTCTAAGCATTGGGAGTGCGGTGGAGGTCTGAGGATAAGCAGAACAGATCTGCCCTGAAGGAGCTGGCAATCAGGGGGAAAAGGCAGACAACTGACAGTAAGTGAAACAGACTGAGAGTTGAGATGGAGCAAATAGAATGGAAGCGGGTAAAGGCTGTAGGGGGATGGAAAGAGGGGTCACAGTTTTAAGGAGGGAATCCTGGGGGGCTCCTTGCACAGGCGACTCCTGGGAGGTGTGAACTGGACTGATTTCTGAGGGGCCACTGCGAAGGCCCTGAGCGGGGACAAGGCTGGCTTGTTGAAGGTGCAGCGGGTCGGAATACAGCGAGGGAGGATAAAGAGGAGAGGAGGTGAGAGAGGCCAGGTTCACACTGTGAACCCTGCTCCCTTGTGTAGCAGGGAGTCCTACAAGTTTGTGAGGAACTGGTTTTTTAGCCCTCTTTTTTGATTAAGAAGACAAAGGTACAGGAAGGTTAAGTAACTTGCTTGAGCATTGTCTGAAGAAAAGCTAGGGCTTTTTTTTGTTTTTTTTTTTAGGAAATTATCAATGGTTATTGTTTTACATATTGTTATCTACAAGATAGTTTCTCAGGAAAACAAATAGACAAATAATAGTGAGTGACAGACAAAAGAGGTAGGAGATTATCAAGAGTTGTTGTACTATACTTAGGTAACTTCAAAGTGGCTTCTAAAGAAAATAAATAGAGCTATACATGAGTGACCTATTGAATAATCATTAACTATTCTCAATAGTTGTTGTAGGAAACGCATAATAATAAACATGGATCCATTTATGAAATAGGATAGGAACAATACAGACATTACAGAGTTATAGATAGGTTAGTAGGAAAATATCAATGGCGGCTGTAATACATGGTGGTATCTTCAAAGTGGTTTCTCAGGAAGACAGAGATACACAAGAAGGATCTAACAAGTAGTTACAGCCTAAGGGTTGTGAAAAATAGCGTATTGCCTCCTCACCAGTGACTCCTGTCACTGAGGTGTGACAGCTGGAAGGAAGGCCAGGATTGAAAAGAAGGACCCAGAGACTTGCACCTGTGTAGGGCTTTTGCTGGGCAGCGGGGAGTCATGAAAGGCTTTTGCACAGGGTCAGGGTATGGCCACATGCATTGCTGTTATGATTCCTCTGAGGTTACTGTAGTCTACTTGCTGGGGACCCTTCACATTCATTTGTGGAAAGCCTGGCCCCCACGGCCGTGCTGTTAAGAACTGGAGTCTTCAAGAGGTGACTGGATCCCGGTGGCGGGGCTCTCGTGATGGGATGAGCGCCCTTATGCAAGAGACCCGCCCCACTTCCACTGCGTGAGGACCCAGGAAGCAGGTCCACACCAGACACCAGATCTGCTCTTATCTTTGCTTCCAGCTTCCAGAACTGTAGAAATAAACTTCTGTTGTTGTGAGCCATGTGGCCTGTAGCGTTTTGTTACGGCAGCCCACACGGGCTAGGACGGCATCCAGGGAGGGAGCTGTCAGAGCAGTCCAGGCCTCGGGGAGGGTGACCCTGGGTGATGAATGAGAGGACAGAGGATCCACTGAGCTTGGTGCTACAGTCGCAGTGGGGTCCAGGCCGACTGAGCAGGAAGAGGAGGAAGCCAGGGTAGCCCTGGGCTCATGGACTGAAACTGGCGTTAACACTTCTTATGCTCTGAGAAGTCTTAAGATTTTACACTCATTAACCTCTTGATCTTCATAAAACCTAGAGGGTAGGTAGTATTATTTTTGTGTGTGTGTGGTACTGAGAATTGAACTCACGACATTGCGCTTGCCAGGCAGGCGCTTATGCCACTGAGCTATTTTCCCAGCTGGTAGGTAGTATTATTATTCCACTTTTAAACAGATGTGTTAAGCTTTGTGTAACTTGTACCTCAGGAAAGTTAACTTACAAAGAAAGTACATTTGTTTTTTCCATTACTAGTACTTGATGATAAGAGAGAATTTTAGAAACAAGAAAACAGATAGAAAATAAATTTCCCATATCTTCTCTTGCCCTCATCCCAGGTAATCAATATAAACATTTTTATGTGTTTACTTTCTGTCTTATCCTTATAGCCCCACTTTACTGATGAGGACACTGAGGCCCAGAACAGCTGGGTAACTGGCCCTGGAACATACATTAGCACCTCAGGCACCTGCCTGCTGTGTCCAGGATCTCAGTTCCTGGGCGCTGCTGACTTTAGGCAAATGCAAGAATGTCAGCCTGGGTGGGTTCCATTAAAATACCCCTCGGCCCCAGCCCCTACCCACTCCACCCCCAGCATCACATCATAGTCAGAATGAGCCCGAGTGGAAGTCAGGGCGCTGCCCAGCATGTGGAGTGGTCAGGAACAGATATGAGAGGTCTTGCTCCAGTAAGAAGGAATCACCTGGCAACTGTGAGGTCCTGAGTTCGATTTCTCTGACACCAAAAAAAAGAGAAGGAATCAGAGCTGAGAACACATGCAGGGTCAATGTGACAGCTGTTTCCAGCCTGGCCCTGGCCTGGAGTCTGCAAGGGGCCGCTGCCACCCTGCCCTAGTGAGTTCTGGGGACCACAGAGCAGCCTGCGCCCAAGTGCTGTCTCTCAGCCGGCCCTGGATGGGAGGGGCGGGGTGACAGGGAGAGGCTGGGGCTTTGCCCAGATTCAGGCCCCTGGGAGTTGTTCCCTGTGACCTGACGGTGCATTTCTTTTCTGGCTCTGGTGCCCACAGGTTCCCTGGGCCTCCTGCTACCAGGGATACAGCCCCGGCTTCCAGCCCCAGCTCAGCCATTGGGTGGTCTTGGGCCAGGGTCTTTGCCCCTCCACCTGTACAGTGGCATCATAATGGCACAGTGCAGACTAAAGGGAGATGTGCATGCAAGTGTTGGCATGGGCGTGGCACATGGGGTACTCAACAGAGGGGCAGCTCCTTGCTTGCTCTAAGCTGACCTAGAGCGTTGGCCTTGCTGGGGGATTGAGTCCGCCACAGACAGCCCCCAACCTCCCTCCACACCTGGCTAGACCAGGTTGGGCCCAGCTAGTGCCGGAGGAGACAGAAGTGAGCTTCCGGAGGCCTGGGAGTCCAGCGGAGCAGAAAAGGGATGTGGTAGAGCAAAAGGACCTGTGCCTCTGACGGTTCTTTAGGCAAGTCGTGGCCCTTCTTTATGCCTCAGTGTCCTCATCTATAAAATGAAGAGAATATTTGGAGTTAGCTACTTATGAAGCGAGAAAAATGGGTGAATTATCCCACCTCTCTGAATCTCAGTTTCTTCATCTGTGAGGTACAGATAATAAATAGCTGCCTAATTTATGGAGTTGGTGTAGGGCTCAAAACCAGAGGAGGGGATGGAGACACCTTTGGAACTGTGAAGCTCCAGGCACCTGTGATTGTTGTTTGTGGAGCCCTGGGGGGAGGAGAGGGGAGTACCTGGCCGGCTGAGGCAGGGCTGCAATCAAAGCCCACGATGACAGGGACAGACAGACGCCACTAACAGCACACCCTTTGATTTAAGAGCTCCCGAGTATTTCTGCACCAGGGTGTGGCTTCACTTGGAGGGGGCCCTGAGGGCAGCTGTGACCCAATCACAGGCCACAGCCCTGCTGAAGAGGAGGGACAGTGTCCACAGAAATCTTCAGGCCCAAAGCATTGGAGGCCTGGATGCTCTGGCCAGGCGTCGGGGTGTAGGGACGCGGGGTGATGGACCACCCTGTGAGCTGGTGTGACTGAGAGGGGTCTGCAGTCTGAGTTAATTGGGGGGGGGCAGGCAGAAGAGCATGGTGTGGCATGAGCCCATTGGGGTTCAAGTGCGATAAAAGAATTTATCCTTGCACAGGAAAATAGACAAGGATTCAGAGAGACAGCGCATTGGCAATCAAGAAGTGACCAAATTGTGTTTTCTTTCATCTTTTCTATGTGTTTTGAAATTTTTAGGCATGGTAGATATTTTACTGTATTTCTATAAAGATTTTAGTGATATCTGTAGATATAATAGAGGTTACAATAAATTATTAGGTAAATTACAAAGTAATCAGGCCGTCTGATGTCATCGGGCTGGAGGGTGGAGGAGCACCCGCTGTGGGAGGACTCCGTGAGCCTGGGTGATAGACGGGATGCAGCCAGCCTTTGGAACAGAGGGAGCATGGCTGGAGGGAAGAGTCGCACTGGAGGACGGGTCTCGGGGTCTCGAGATGGGTCCCAGGGCTCCCTTCCTGGGAGCAAGCCTGAGTGCCTGGGTGGTTAGAGACATAGGTGGCATTGTGACCAGACAGCCTAAAGCCAGGATCCCGCAGCAGCAGCAGGAGCATAGGGTCAGAGCCAGAAGGTGAGTGTCCTGCTGGAGTTGGGGCCACCCTCAGTGGGACTGGAAAGTGGGGACAGACCCAGGAGGCCCCTGGCTGGGAAAGGACGTGAGCCCTCAGGCTCTGGTGTTCAGCGGGATTCTAGGGTGAGGCCAGACTCCAGTGGACCCCTTCCCTCCGCCATGTTTGTTCTTGGTCTTTGGCCCCTCAAATTTGGGCTTTTCAGCCTCTTCACAGCCCTCTGGGAGCCTAAGGCAGAAGGATCACAAGTTCAAGTCCTGCCTGGTGAACTTGTGAGACACTGTCTCAAAATTTAAGGGAGCGGTGGTGAGAGCCCTACAGTCAGTACAGGGGTTGCGGGGAGCGAATGCTACTGCCATATTTCATTGACGATTGGGTTCCGTCTATTATTTTGTAACCCATTAAGAAGGCAAAAGCAGGAGACAAGACTGTGAATTGCATCCTAATTTCCGAGAAGTTAAGGTGTAAACCTGGCTAGACATAGTGGCACATGCCAGTAATCCCAGGGCTCTGGAAGGCTGAGGCAGGATGTTGGCAAGTTCAAGCCCACCCCGGGATACTCAGTGATTTAAAAAGACCCTGTCTCAAAAAATAAGAAAAGGACTAAGGATATAGCTCAGTGTGAGGGTCCTGAGTTCAATTCCCAGTGCTGCAACAACCAAAGGTGTAAATCTGTATGTCTTAGAACCATCTGATATGTGTCAGATGCCCCCGTTCTGTTAATAGGCCTTCACGTATTTAGTCCTCACAGCAGCCCTAAGTCCCTTTTTCATAGGTGAGGAAACCAGCCCAGAGTAGTTAAGTCATTTTGCAGGGTCACACAGCCAGCAAGAGGTAAACCTGGGCTGTGAACCTGCTTTTACTAGATCTTAGCATCTTCCGCTCATCCAAACCCTCAAGGGTCAAACCCCTGAGTCCTGGCCCTTAGGAAAGAGACAGTGTGCATACTGCAGAGTGGATGTATGCCAGGTCAGAAGTGCTCCAGGGCACTGGTCATTGAATGCCCCGTGCTATGAGCTATGGAGGAGGGCTGAGGAGATAGTGACAGGAAGGACTTTGAGAGCTTGTTGGCTGGTCGTTAGCCTCATCCTTGCTATGACCATTACCAGGAGCAGCTTGGCTGGTGGCCCTTCCTGGAAGAAGGCCACCAAGATCCACCCCACACAGAATCCTGGAGTCTTGCCCAGACTGACCCATTCACTCCCTAAAATGCTATTTTTCAGTTTAATTTTTTGAATAGGACCTTTGTTCACGTATTGATTGCTTTCTGCAGTGAAGCACAAGCCCCTGTATTAAAGCAGAGCAAAACACACCCAAGCCTTGCTTGGGCTCATGAGGACAAAGGGGACATGGACAGTCAGCATCCAGTCACCAAAACCTAGGGCAGGTACCTGCAGGAGAAGAGAGGGGAGGACGCAGGAGAGAATAGGCCTAGCCCTAAGGCTGCCAGGAGGAAAGAATTTTTGAGTTGAATTCTGAAAGATGAGAAGATGAGGGTGGGGACTGGGGAGCGCTGGACAGGAGAAACGGCCTATGCAAAGGCCCTGGAGGGTGGAGGAAACTGGCCTTTGAGGAATTAAAAGCACCCGGTGTGTCCGCAGCTCAGATCCCTAGGCAAGATGAACGTGGAGAGAGAGAGGTGTGGCCCGGAAGTGGAAGGCTCAGATTTGCATATTTTGGAAATATGCAAGATGGTTGGCTGCAAAGACTAAATAACAGGAGATGGGGTGGTCCCGGCAGTGGGAGTGGAAATAGGCAAATCTGAGAGATGTTGCAGACATGGGATGGGAGGATGGGATTAGTGATGGTTTGGCTTTGGGTGTAAGGAAGGGTGCCAGGGAGGGACCCCTGGGTTTTGACTGATCCAGCAGTGCCCGTCACAGGCCTGATTTGCAGGGGGGCGGTATACAGAGGAAGGTGAGCTGCAGCGAAAAGCCTCCACCCTGGTGGGTTTGGTCCTGCCCTGGGCTGGGTTTGGTCCACTCTCCCTCACCAGTGCTTAGATAGCCTCCTTCATCCAGTCGTGGAGTTTGCCTGATGGTGTGGAAAATGGTCCGTGGGGGAAGGATTTAGAGTGTTAATGAGAGCAAGGTGATGTCCCGGGAAATGGGTGTGCATAGCATCTGCTTGTCATGTGGCCCAGACACTGTCCCCAGAGCTGGAGCCAGCAGGGTAGTGGATTCAGGGCCTGTGTTTATTGATCTACCAGGGATGTTGGCAAAGGGTTGGTTCCGTCTGGCAGGTGACAGGAGTCTGGAGAGGAGACGGTGTGGTCAGGTCAGCACTGGGTACTTGCATGAGCGCCTATAGAAGCGGGGGGAGCAGTTTTACACCAAGCCTGACGAGAATGTCTCCCCTCCCTTGCAAGGTGAGACCTCTCTCCATGTCCCCTGGTCTTCCCAGGGACGTACATCAGGGGCTGCACCAGTGCCCACCAGGGTGCAGGTAAAATGTGCACTGCACCTGTGAGGAAAGAGTTAGGTGTGGACACCCTGATCCCTCCACGGCTGGAGTGTCAGGCAGCCATGTCTCGTGTGATCCAGACGTCTCTGGAGAGAAGGGGAGACACCCAGAGGAGGAGGGACGTCCCTGACTCGGGTTAATCCAAGTGAATCCAAACTAATCAATACAGGTCAGATTTATAGTTTATATTAGCCACTCGTGACGACCCCAAAATTGACAAGAAATTTGAAAAACTGGGTTAGCAGTCCTGATCGTGCTGGCACATGTGGACAAGGCTGTGAAGAAACAGACTGTGGGCTTCCAGCCCGATCACTTCATCAGCCACCAGACAGGGGAAGAGCAATGACAAGCTAATGGAGTCAGACAAGAAGTCAGCCAGAGAGTCTCCTTTTTAATGGGGGAGGGGAAGGGGGTTAGTGGAAAAAAAGGTTTTTTTAAAAAAATTTTGAGGCAGGTCTCACTACATTGCCCAAGCTGTCCTTGGACTTATCCTCCTGCTTCAGGCTCTGGACTCGCAGGGATTCCAGGTGTACAGGTGTGCGCCACAAGCCTGTTTTGAGGGGCACTCTGCAATATAGACTGACAGCCTGTCTGGCTAATGAAGAATCTGTCCATGTACATGTTATGTCTCGAGGCTTCTGATGGGTACGTGGATATAACATAAAATATTATGGGGAGAGCTCAATTTTTTTTCTTCCTTTAAAAGGAATGATCAAAAAGTTAGGAATCTGCTTCTCTAAACCCCCGATCCCTTCTGTGTGGCTGCTACAGCCATGACTGTGGGCAAGCTTTGTTCTGATGAGGTCTTTTCTATTTTCCTACCCATTCTCTGGCGACCTGTGGTCCACACAGGGGTGTCTGCAGCTGGGACCTTGGAACATGCAAGTTGAGATGAGTGCTTCAGTTTACCAGGTACAGCCTGCAGCCACTGGTACTCTGATGGCTCTTCTAGCAGAAAAGACCTGGGGTCCATCTGCTCTCCTGACCTTTAGGAGCCCCATCTTCCCAGCCCAAACATCTCTCAGGAGAAACAGAGCTCACCTTTCAAAGGTCTAAGCCCAAAGAAGGCACTGATGGGGTAAGTGACCCCCACCCTCACGATTATAAGGCCTTTCTTCCTGCCTGGGCCATCCTTGGAATTTGTCCCTCCACAAACAAGTTTCCACTATTACTTACAGCAATACTGATAAGGAACAAAATATTTGATACTGTATCCAGGCACACGATGAAAGGAAACTTTGTTCTGTGTCTTACAGGACTCCTGGGCTATGAGGCCAGAGGCCAGGATCCTGTTTATTTTTCTGGCCTGTGTGGGTAGTGTTGGGCAGGCTGACTCAGTTTCCCTTTATACACCCCATGAG